CCACTGCAACAGAGCTGTTAGCGGAGTTCTAAATGTCTATTCTATATTACTCCCACATAACTAGTACTGTAAATGGTACAAAGAGGGCCGATCTGATACTAGCTCTTAACTTGGGTCTCCAGGGCTGACAGAATTTAAATATCTTTTCAATTATAAGTTGAGAAAAATTGATACAGCTTTATTAACACAGAAATTCACAAAGCTGTGTTTATGAAGGACTTTTCAAAATAAAACTACACTTTTAAAAATGCTTAATTAAGAAGGACCACAAAAATGGTAACAGAAGATACTCAGTACAAATCTAAGAACACTACACAAATGCTTCACCTACATTAAAGTTAGAAGCCACTCACTCCTGCACTAGTTGAAACAACTTTGGTCCGTTTACAGCAAACTTCAAAGTAAAACCAGTCTGTTGCTACATGGCCAAGTGTGGGAAAACTGTTGGATACAACCTGCAACTTATTTACCCCATCAGCATCAAGTCTTCTATAATTATTTCCATAGGTTATTTTTCTAAGCATGACCTACTTTCAAACTAATTACAGTATTTCTTGCCCAGAAAAAGAAACTATCCTACATCAGGAATATCAATAATTGCATTTTGATCTTTTAAAAGCAATGTAAAGGGTAAAGATTGTGCATATAGTGGGAAACAATATGAATTTAGTTCATTATGTATAACTCAGAAATGCTGTTCATAAAAAAAAAAAATTAAAAAGCACATTCTAATACAAAAAGAATACAAAACATGCCAGATACAGGTCTTATTCAGTTTTGCTAAAGTTGTTTCCTCTATGTACATTTTTCCTGTGTTCCCTGAATGTAAAAATATTACACAATTGTCTCATGAGCAGGGATCCTGGTTTTCCTTGATTAAAAAAAAAGCAAATTCTCTGATTAAAAACCCTAAAATCCATAATTAAAATTAAAGGCCCCCCAACACACACACAGCCACCCTGGCCCTGCTTGTGCCCCTCGCCCCTTCTCCACAACTCCTGCCCCCTCCCCCCCCACCCTGCTGGAGGGGGCCCCCAGCTGCCATGGTCTATGGAGCCAGGGACCCAGGTCCACAGCCCCCTGCTCCCAACAGAAGGCAGCAGCTATTGGTAGAGGTGGAGCCAGCTCCCGGCTGCAGCACACACCCCCAGGGGGCGAGAGGGAACTGTGCCCTCCAGATCTTTTCAGGAGGTGGAGGCAGGGTGGTTGTGTGCTGCAGGCTCATGCTCCCCACCCTGCTGCCCTCCCTCAGGGCCTCTGCAGCACACTGCATGCAACCTGGCATGGCAGGACACAGCCGGGCCGTGCAGGAAATCTGCTTGCCCCTGTGAGCTCCACGCTGCCCTGGTGATGCTTTCCCTGGGCACAGAGACAGCAGTGAGGGGCACAACCCTACACTACCCACATTCACTGGGATAGCAGCACCAGGGCAGCATGGAACTTGCAGGGGCAAGCAGCTTTCCTACGCAGCCCTGCTGCTCCAGGTCTCACACGCTGCGCTGCAGAGGCCTTGGGGGAGGGCAGCAAGACAGGGAGCAAGAGCCAGCAGCGTGCCCCCACCCAGATCTGGGGGGTACAGGTACCCCCTGCCCCCCCAGGACTGCGCACTGCAGCAGGGAGCCAGCCCTACCTCCCACCCCTAAACAAGCCCCCCACAGTCCAGGGCTCTGAGGCCACACACTGCCCAGCAGGGCAGCAGCCCCAGCCCTACCCAACTCCCTCCCTATAGCAGTCTCAATCCCCGCCTCACTTACCTGCAGGGGCTGCTGTCTAGGCTGCCTGGGGCCATGTGCATATAGATGCACATGGTGCCCCTACCTGACTGCCCTACTCCCTCCCAGCCCCCTGCAGGCTGGAGCTATGCCAGCCTGCAGAGGTCTCGCTGCAAAACTACAAAATCCATGGGTTTCTCTGCTAAAATGAAAAATCCACATTTTACTCTAGTAAAGGGGGAAATCCAAGGTTTACTCCATTTTTCGGTGGGAAATGGAAAACCTGGATTCCAACTCCTGAGGCAGATACATTCTAAATAAGTCTCTATATCTACAGGAATATGTCAGACAACAGAACTTCAAAAGAAAACCAATGACTGAAATGCAGACTTCCACTAGTCAACATTAGCAAGAACTTTATGTAAATCTAAATGCATCAAGGGCCTTCTCGTTCAACCAGAGATCAAGGTGAAGAACTCCAGGCAGGGAAAACCTAAACAGATTATGTCTCTCTAAAAACTCATTAACGAGAAAACCAAAGAATTTTATACCATGGCTGCCTAAGCCTTTGTTAATTGCTTTACTGAGGGCTGCTCAGGATAGTAGGATTAACCAATTTACTCTGAGAAATCACTGACCTATGTGCAATTATTTCCGTGTTCTTGTTGAGTGTGAAACAAGCCCATTGGCTTTCACTTTTAGAAATCAGCACTAGCAAGATAAATTCACCAACCAAATCTATTTTCACCAATACATCACCCTCAGTTTGAAAGAACCAAGTCAAGTTAATGTGAGATCATTCCTTAATCAAAAATTGCTTAATACAAATTAGCTAAATTTAACTCTGTGTACCACAGAAACTAGTCTTGACATTTGCAAATGATTTTGACACTTCAGCCAAAAAAAGAGCTGCCAGAAGGCACAAGGGACTGGATGCCCATGATGGACAACTATAGTTCCTATCAGAGAGAGTACTGCTGCATTCATCTGTTCCAAATATGAAGATTTATTAAATCAATCAGCAGCTAGAGTTTATTTTCATTTGCTTACTAGAAAATGAGCAGCTAAGGAATTCATTAGTTTATGCTGCAAAACAACTCTCTTAAAACCAGTTTAAAAAACCAAGTAGAAGATATGGTATAAAATATAATACTTTACACACATTAAGCACTCTAGACATATCATAAAAGTGAACTGGCCATTGTTGTTCCAGTATTTCATCAGAAATTGATCTTTGAGACTGGATGTCTGTACTGGTAAAGGCTTAACTGAAACTATTTATGGCTATAAGAAGAAAAATAGTGGGAGAGTGTTCTTACTAGTGATTGTATGCTACCGAATGTAATTGCATTTCTATGATGTGAGATAGGCATCCAATCCAATCCGATCCAATGCATAAAGTCAGTGTTACATTCAAGGAAAAGAGAAAACTTAATTTTAAAAAGCAAACTATTAGCATTAATAAAAGCCAGAAGCATCGAAAACTTGGCATGGTAATAAAAATGTATGAAGTTCTAATGGCTATATTTCTTGGTTTACTCGATTCAAGCCAGTAAATTATGTACAAAACTCCTCTAAACCAAAAGCTTAGAACGTTGAGAGGTGTCAGGACACTGCAAAGAGCAACCTTAACTTGAGAACACTAGCCGTCCCAAAAATATTTTCAATGTCTAGAAGTTTTAACGGTCAAAAGAAAAAGCCAAGGATGCAAAACTTAGCTGAGAAGAACTCCACCGTGATTTACAGATTTGAAGCACACAACATGAGAGGGTCCTCACAAGAGAGGCTTCAACCATAACCGTTTTGTAGCATCCTTTGCCACCTTCAATCTTGTAGTCAGATGACATTTTAGAAGCCAAGTTCAATTCAGGTGAGTGTCCAGACATGTTTTGAAGATATCTAGAGTAGGTGATTATACCACCTCTGGGGGGAGTCTATTCCAAATCCTGGTCACTCGAATTGTAAAGAAGTTTTTCCTTATGTCTAATCCAAAGCAGTCTCCTAGCAATGTATGACCATTAGTCCTAGCCTTCCTCTGGGGAGCCCTGGTGAACAGACATTCTCCCAGCCCCTGATACGCACCCCTTATGTACTTACAGGCTGCCACAAAGTCTTCTCTGAGTCTTCTCTTCTCCATGCTGAACAGACCCATGTCTCAGCCTCTCATTGTATGGCCTGGTCTCCATACCTCTAGCCATATGCGTACCCCTCCTTTGGACTCTCTAAAGACTCTGCACATCCTTCTTGAAGTGCAGTGCCCAGAACTGGATGCAGTACTCCAGCTGCGGCTTCACCAAGGCCAAGTAAAGTGGGAGGATGACATCCTTAGTCTTGAGATGCTAGTGTTTGGTTTGCTTTGCTGGCTACGGCATCACATTGGTGGGCCATGTTCATTCTATGATCTATCAAGACCACCAGGTCTCAGTTGTGGTGACAGTAAGCATGGCACTGCCAAGCCTGGAAGCATGTTGTTTCTCCCCAGGTGGAGCACCTTACACTTCTTGGTGTTGAACATCAGGTTTTGATCCGCCCACCTTGCGAACCTGTCCAGGTCAGCCTGTATTCCTAGCCTATGTTCCAGCATGACCACAGCCCCCCATAATTTGCTTTCATCTGCAAACTTTGCCAGTCTGCTTTTAACACCCAAATCCAAATTATTTAATGAATATGTTAAAAATCATCAGTCTGAGTACTAAACCCTGAGGGACACCACTGGTTGCCAAGTGCCATGATGACTGTTCCAGCTATTATTACTCTCTCGGTCATATCTCGGAGCCAGTTTCCTAGCCACCAGACCTTGGGTTATTGAGGCCACAGTTCCCCAATTTTACCATAAGCATGTTGTCAGAGATCAAGTCAAAGGCTTTTCTGAAATCCAAGTATATGACATCAATCTCATCTTCCTTATCCAGGCAGCATGTTACCTGATCATAGAAGGAAAGGAGGATGGTCAGGCATGACCTGCCTGCAATGAAGCCACATTGGCTATCTGTTAGAATGTTGCCTTCTATTAGCCTATTGCTAATGGATTCTTTAATAACTTTTTCCAGGGACTGAGGTCAAACTGATTGGCCTGTAAATCCCTGGATCCTCCTTCCTTCCCTTTTTTTTTTTTTTTTTTTGTAGATAGGAACCACATTGGCCCTCTTCCAGTCTTCTGGAACCTCTCCCAAGTGCCAAAAGTTCTCAACTAGTTTTGCAATGATGTCAGCCAATTCTTTCAGCACTCTCAGGTGCAGTGCATCTGGTCCTGATGACTTGTTGATATCCAGCTGCTCTATATGTTACCTCACAAGATCTTTGGCAACTGTTGATGGGTAATTACCCCCACCTTGATTGTCCTGTATCCTTTCAAACAAGGTAACACCCTTAGACTGGTGGAATACTGATGCGAAGTAATTGTTTAGGAGTTCAGATTTCTCTTGGGTGTTGGTTGTCACCTGTCCCATCTTGTTCAGCAGGGGTCCAATGTTTCCCTTATTTTTTCTCTGATTTTCTATGTACTTGAAGAAGGACTTTTCACTGTTCTTGATTTCTGTTGCCAATCTAAATTCGGTTTACACCCTTGCTTTTCTAATCCTTTCCCTACAGATGCGGGCTATTGCTGGGTACTCTTCCTTGGCGGCATTTCCTGACTTCCATCCCTTGTTTCTCTTTTAAATTTCAGGAGGTCCATGACTTTCCTGTTGAGCTAAGGGGGTCCTCCCAACCCTTTTGCTACCTTTCCTGGTAGCAAAGCTTGCTACACAGAAAAAGAAAATATACAGTAACATGCAGTTTGGTTTCAACAGAAATTTGATATTGTCAAATTTACAAAAAGATTGGTGTGAAACAGAGGATGGATGATGTATATCTAGGGGCCCATCTATCCATACATATTAATGTGATGCGATAAACTCAGGCACTTATTGCACCAGAGTTGACTGATCCCAGGCATCACGTTTATACATGCACCCAGGACCACAACACACTGAGTTGGGTTGGAACAGCACTGGCTGGCAGGAGGCCTGGGTGGCCAGCCTGGCAATCCAGGGGTTCTCTGACCCAGCTCAACATGGTGTGGAGGGGCTAGCTGGGGCACAAAGATGCTCCAGTGTGGGGCTAGCCATCAGCCAGCTCCTGCACTGAAGCACCCTCATGCCCCAACCAGCTGCATCAATGTCTACATGTACATTGCTGTGGAGTAAAAAACAAAAACAAAAAAAAAACAACCTCTGCAGCAGGATAATGGTTATATTTACAAGTATTACTCTGCTTCAGAGCTTATTAGTTTACTCTAGCCTAATATCCCTGTGTCAGGGATGGGTGCTGTAAGATAGGTGCATAGCCCCCACCTATCCAACACCTTACTTAGGTAAGCTGTGGGGGAAAACGGATAATACTGTCACTACCAACCTCAGATGTTCTTCTCTCTCCTGCTACGTCTTGGTGTATGGTCTTAATTCTTGGGAGTTGGATGCAGCCTGGGTGACAACTCAGCTGGGTCTCCCAGGAGAGCTTTCTTCATGGGGCTCCTGTTCCCCTTACACCACCCTCACCCCATCCAAGATATCATATGCCTAGGACCTGGATCTTGCGTCAGCTGATGATACCATTGGCTGTTACTTGCTGGTATACTGAATGAGGTTTATCAGTTAAGCTCCTTCATTTGGGTTTCCTGAGAACATCTTTAAATCAATGCATTATAGGCTCCCAGTTCCTCAATTAAGAGGAGTCCGTTCGGAGTCTGTAGGACAACTACCTCCGATCAATTTGCCCCAGGTTCCTGAGGTAATCTATCTTGATCAGTCCATTAAGAGTCCCTTAAACAAACCAATCAGTTGATCTCAGTTCCTTAGTCCATCAAATGGAATCAGCACACAAAGTGTCCATCAAGATGATCCAAAAAAAAAAAAAAAATATGGAACAAATTCATGCCTGGTTCCTGGGTAAATCAACTCAAAATTATAAGGTCTCCAGTCCAGATGAGTTAAGGGAAGTCCATGAAGGAACAAAAAAAGGCAAATTATGCATGATTCTTAGTTGCAGTATTTAATAACGTCTTTTCATTTGTTGAATTTAATGTTTGTGATACATTTGTTCAGTTTTGTTTGTATTCTGAGAAAGTAGGATGCTTAGGATTTATAAGCCTATACCTGATTCATGTGAAGGAGAAAATATGAAGACAGTGGAGGTAAGGCAAACCAAAATGGGAACCAGAGATATGGGTCTTTGTGGAAGACATGAGCACAGGAGGCAAAAGTGAAGGGGGTAGTTAAATTATGCATCTTTGGCAGAGTACAGTGTTTGAGTGGAGCAGCACTTAGGCTAATAAAAGCTAGGCTGCACAGAGTCAGATAGTGAAAAATAAACAGGTTAACGATGGTGGCACAAGGATGCAGAATAAGCACCATAAGAGCACAGTATGCAAAACATATCTTGTGTATTAACACCTAACCATTCTTCTGCCATGATGGAGTCTCCTCAGCAGTGAAAGGAATTTGGCCATTTTAAAAAAGAAATAAAACTCAATTTCTATCAAGAGCCTATGCTCCACAATTTAGTTAGAATTATTTTCAAGGTGAGGCTAAACACAGTGCATGAATCACTCCAGGTTTGGGTTAACAAATCTCTGCAAAGACACAAGAAGTGTTCCAAGCCTTTACTGTAGTAAAAATAATTTACGATATCTTCCAAACATGGAAGATACCTTAAATTAGGATCATTTGCCTGTTCTTTGTGCACTACTCCACTCAGCATTGGCACAATATATCCAGACACTGAACAGTCTTCAGTTAAGAAAAGTAAAATAGGGTATAGTATTTCAGAGCAGTAAATATTCAGTTATGTTTAATTATAGATGGGCAGTGGCAGATGAAAAAGCAAAACCTGAAAACTATCACACCAATGACTGAAAGACCACAAGACTTCTTAACAGCAGCTGTTAACCTGTTACAAGATGTGAAGCAACCCTGCTAGAACATTTATCTTCACTAAAATGATGATACAGCACCAATAGTCAGCTTCACATAATTGAAGATTCAAACTCTGCCTGTTCATACCATTTCTGATGGCATTCTTGAACAATGAAGCTGCAGGAAACTGGTGGATGAAAATTAAAAACTAGCATGTGGCTACTTTTAATAGAAGGTTGCCATATTTTTTATATTCTGCTGCAATTTATCCAATCACATATATGACATCACAGTGAATGGAAAAATAAAGTATGAACTGCAGGTAAGAAAATACAAATAACGGAAACCTAAAAGAAAATAAAAATTAATTTGTCAAGTTAATTTAGTTCAAGAATAACATTGTATTGTATCATAACCACTAAGACAAAATTAATAGCTTATCACACCATGACAATGGAGGGGCCAAACAGAAGTCTGATGAAATCCACTAATGGAGTGTTCTCATGGGTTGCAGGCATTTCTTCTAAGAGGTAGGTCATACATCATTCAGTTCAAGCAGAGATCTTACTGTTAGCATTTACACTTTCATGCCTTCCCACAGAATGTGTGGTAAGGGAGAACTGGTATGGTGGCAGACCCAAAACTACCTGAAATAAAGGCTCTGACTTTGAAGCAAAATAGTCCTTTAAAGGTTTGAAGTGTACCTGTTACCATTTCCTTCTAAATCAAGCAGTATGAAATCTAGTAGCCCTGTGGAGGAGAAACTTTTAAGAGTAGAGAGAACATAAGAACGACTGAACCACACACAACTAATCATCCTTAGGGCTATATCCTGCATCAGAAAGGCAAGATAGATGATCACAAGGGATAAAGAGTACTCCTGCAATACGTTCTCCATCCCAAAAACACATCTCCTAATGTTTCCTTTAAATTAATGAAGCCCCAGGCTCAAAAAGGGGTTGAAAAAGGTCATAAACAAGAGCTAAACTTTTAAAACCTTTTTTTTTTTTTTTTATTTAAGTGCAAACGTGATTGGTGTAGAACCTCAACCAGGGTGCCACAAGATTCTTTTAAGGGCATCATGTAATATTAGTAGTTAGGTGTGCAAACACCCACAAACGATTCACAAGATAAAGACAGAGATTTCAAACAGGAATCCAGAGCAACAAAAACATTCTAACCCATGGTGTTTTTGTAAGTTCTTTAACAAAAGAATTCCTCTATTATTTCTGTAGTCAAAAATGTGACTGAAACTAAGCCTTGGCGTTTTATGAAGGCTGCTTTGAGTCTAAAAAAGTTAAGAATTTCACCAGGAGTTTTAATACATTGGTTTTGTCAAGACCTATACCTCTGACTGCTTTTGAGGAAGTTGGAAAAGGTTTATAGGTTAAAGTATTTTGCTACCAAAAGCATTTTTCTAATATTGAAGGCATTGTGAGGATCCTGGAAAGGTTCTACACACCTGACCTGGTTTAGGAGGGGGATATAATATTGAAAAGTAAAATGTATATTCCATTTATATGATAGTCCTTTCAACCCCCTAAGGAGAAGTTCGTTCTCATGAACAAGGAACAGGACACTGAATCCAAGCAAAGAAAGGTATATCTGATGTGGGAAACAATAGACAAGGGGACCAGATGTAGTGAGGCATATAATTTAAGGTACCTTGCAAAATCCACAGACACTCTTTTCTATACAATACAATAGCTATACTTACATCACCAAACTGTCCAGGGGCTCTAGCTGCATTGTATTAGGAACTATAGAAAGAGGCTCCCTGTCTAACACATGTACTTCAGCACTGTCAGTGCTCAAATGTAATAAACATACAACTCAACAGTTTGATACACTTCACCAAAAATAACTAAGTCACTGCTAGATTGAGCAGTCAGAACTCTTGTGGTAGAGGCAATACCTTTTATTAACCCAACTAGATAGCTGAAATAAAAAAAAAAATATTTGCAAGCTCTCAGGCTCATACATCCTTCCTCAGGCAAAGGAGAATGTAAAGATTGTAAAAACTGTACAGATCTGGCAGAAATGTTACAGATCTTACAGATTTTATAGTTCTGACAAAAAAATTTACAATCTTTACATTCTCCTTTGCCTGAGGAAGGGTGCCTAATAAGCTTGCAAAAAATAAAAATAAAAAATTTTGCAACCATCTGGTTGGTCTTATAAAAGATAACACCTCTACCACAAGAGTTTTGACTGCTTTTGCTTTTATACCAACACAGCTCCAACCTATATCCCTGAAACATGGAAGATATCATAAGTAGCCATTTTGAAATGAAAACTTCATAATTTTACAAAAAAGAACTAAACTTAAACACCCAGAGACCTGAAAACAAACACTCCTGCTCCAGCCCATTGTTCGAGCCAAATTTGCACACCTGCAGAGCAGTTTCACCACAACACAACTTCCTTACCCAGGAGAAACATTCCCTCACCAATCCTCCTGTGTAAAATGAAACAACAAGAAAGAAGCAAAATTCAACATCCTGTTTGCCATCAAGTACCTCTGAAGTAAATAGGCTGCTCCAACTTTTATCTGA